GTGAGTTAAAGGGTGGGTGAGTGAGTGTGTGGGTGGGTGAGTGAGAGGGTGGGTAGGTGTGTGAGTGTGTGGGTGAGTGAGTGGTCGAGTGAGTGAGAAGCTGTGTAGGTGGGTGTGTGGGTGAGTGAGTTTGTGGGTGGGTGAGTGAGTGAGTGAAAGGGTGGGTAGGTGGGTGAGTTTGTGGGTGGGTGAGTGTGTGGGTGGGTGAGTGTGTGGGTGGGTGAGTGTGTGGGTGGGTGAGTGAGTGAGTGAGAGGGTGGGTAGGTGGGTGAGTGTGTGGGTGGGTGAGTGAGTGAGTGAGTGTGTGAGTGTGTGGGTGGGTGAGTGAATGAGTGAGTGAGTGGGTGGGTGGGTGAGTGTGTGGGTGGGTGAGTGTGTGTGTGGGTGAGTGAGTGTGTGGGTGAGAGGCTGTGTGGGTGGGTGAGTGTGTGGTTGGGTGAGTGAGAGGCGGTGAGAGGGTGAGTACGTGGGTATTTGCGGGGTTGAGTGAGTCAGTGAGTGTTAGGATGGTTGAGCGGATAGGTATGTGAGTGAGCGAGTGGGTGAGCGAGTGAGTGAGTGAGCGAGTGGGTGAGTGATGGAGCGAGTGGGTGAGTGATAGAGCGAGTGGGTGAGTGAGTGAGTGAGTGATGGAGTGAGTGAGTGAGTGATGGAGGAGTGGGTGAGTGAGTGAGTGAGCGAGTGGGTGAGTGAGTGAGCGAGTGGGCCTCATCCCCGTGGCCGTGAGGCCGCACGCGTGGCGCGTGGACGCGGAGCTTGTGCTCTGCCAGGCTCGTGCTAACAGCTCTCACGCTCCACATTCTGGATGACCCTGTGAAAGACAGCGGCCCGCGCATCTTGGCTCACCGGGGCGCGGGAGGGGGGTCGGGCGGGAGAGAAAGGGGGGGGGGGGAGCACGAGTTGTCTGTCTCACGGATGAAAAAACCTCTGCGTTCTTTCCCTCGCCCCCCCCCCCCCGGCTCACTACCTTCTAGCACTGCCCCCCCCCCCCTGTTCGCGTGTCTCTCTCTGGCCCCGCGTCTGCGTGCGGGAATGCGCGTGCGCCCTCGCGCGCCTTCCCGCTTGGCTTTTGACACCGCGGCGAGCCGGACACGAGCACCCCTGCCCCCCGGTTTGCCCCCCCCCCCCCGTTCCCCACACCGTGCACCATCTCCGGTTCTCAGACGCATGTCCCCACGCAAACTCGGCGTGCCGGGAAACGCGCGGGGTGATGGAGGAGAGCGCCAGGGGAGGGTGATGGGTGAGTGGGGGGGGTTGGGCAGATCGCCGCCTCCCACCCTCCAACAGCCCTGCCAGCCCTGCACGGACTCCCGCGTGTGGCCCTTATTTGAAGGCCGCGTGGGCGTTTGTGTGTGTGAGTCGGGGTGTGTGTGAGTCGGTGTGTGTGTGAGTCGGTGTGTGTGTGAGTCGGTGTGTGTGTGAGTCGGTGTGTGTGTGAGTCGGTGTGTGTGAGTCGGTGTGTGTGTGTGTGAGTCGGTGTGTGTGTGTGCGTGTTGTTTGTGTGTGTGTGTGAGTCGGTGTGTGTTTGTGTGTGTGAGTTGGTGTGTGTGTGAGTCGGTGTCTATGTGTGTGTGAGTCGGTGTGTGTGTGTGAGTCGGGGTGTGTGTGTGTGTGTGTGAGTCGGGGTGTATTTGTGTGTGGGGATCGGCACTGTTGCGGTTAGCTCACTTCGCTAACAACCCCGGCGTCCAAAGTTCGATTCCCTGGTGTGTGTGTAAAACATCAGCACTGGGGAGACAAAGGCGGACGTGCGTAGGTGCTGACCACCCACCCCCTCGTGTGCCACGCCGGCCTTCATAAGTGCTCGCAAACAGCACTCGCTCAGAGCAGCCTGTATCGGCTACACGGGGGACCTTCGTCTTGTTAGTGTGTGTGAGCGTGTGCGTTTCATCAGTCAATCAACCCGTGGCAACTGGGTCCGTCCCATGACCTCCTGACAGCAGCGTGCCTCCGACACCGCTGGCTAGGAGGACTTCCCCCAACAGTATGTTCAGGCTACACGGGGGATCTTTGTCTGTGCGTGTGTGCGTGTGTAAGTCGAATCTGAGACTACGTGTGCGCGCGAGCAACAGGCCGCGGTGGCACAATGTTGCCAGTTGCGTAAAACCCCTTCTATAATAACCCCCCCCCCCCAACTTCATTCCACTCAGATTAAAGCCACGAACCACAACAGAGCGGCACATTCCACTCAGGTGTCGCGTGCACCTCGCGAGGCGCCCCGCACACCTGGGCATGCACACCTGGGTATGCTTACTCACACCCGGACATACACGCGTGGGTATGAGCACGTGGGTATGCACGCTCACACAACTGAGCATACACACCTTGGGTACGCACACATGGGCATGTCGTGGCGTGCATGCCCAGGTAACCACACTCACGCATGAACATAACACCTGCGGAACTACACTGTGCACACGCACCTGTAAAGGTGCACTCACGCCGGGCGAGCACACCTAATCTTTGCACACTTGAGCGCACATAAAAGAGAAAGATCCCCCGTATAGATGTTAACAGACTGACTGGGCAAGTGCCCTTAGCAAGCCGGCACGGCACACGAGGAGGTGGGGTGGCCAACGCCACGCCCGGCCGCCTTTGTCTCCCCAGCGCTGATGTTTTACAGAGCGCGTCAGGTAACTCATTTGCAATGCTGAGTCCACCTAGGGGGGGCCGAGGATCGGTTCAAATCATCGCTGCCACTGTGAGCAGAAATTGAACTTGGGTCGCCGCCGGTTCTGAGCGAAGCGCACTGACCACTGCGCCACCGCTCCCCACACGAACACACACACAACTAGGTATGCACACACGCACACCTGTGCAATCACCCGCGGGCACTGCACGCGTCGGTGAGCATCCTCAACCTCGCCACGCACACCCCCGCCTGGCTAGTAGACGTGATCGTAGAATGCTTGAGTCTGCACACACACCTCGGCATATACACTTGGGACATGCACACGTGGGCACGCACACCTGGACTATGCACACCTGAGCCATGCACACTGGGGCACGCACACCTGGTCTGTGCACATCTGGGAAATGCACACCTGGGCACAAAGACAAAGATAATCCGTGTAGCCTTAACAGACTGTTGGGGCGAGTGCTGTTAGCGAGCACCTATGAAGGCCAGAACGGCACACGAGTGGGTGGCTGCCAGCAACCACGCTCGGCCGCCTTTATCTCCCCAGTGATGATGTTTACGCACCGCACCAGGTACTCATTTGAGACTGAGTCGACCTAGGGCAGTCCCAGGACCAGTTCAAATAATCGTCGCTGCAAATCGAACTCGCCGTGTTCGTAGCGCAGCGTAGCGCTAACCGCTACACCGCCGCTCCCCACGCACACTTGGGCACGCACAGCTGAGCGCGTACAACCCTTGGCTGAGCACACCTGGGCACGCACACCACCGTGAGATACGCAAGGTGAGTTCGCTTCCTGATACCCCGTGAGCTGAGCGAGCGAGCGAGAGAGCGAGAGAGCGACACCGCTCACGCCCCTGAGCAGCGCCGCGACTCACGATCGGCACTCGGCGCTATTTTTAGAAGTCGCCCCCCACTCGGAGCGCTCCCCGGCGTTGGCTCAGAACGTGGAATGCGATGGAGACATCGCTCGACGCCGCGACTGGCGACGACTCCTCGGCCGCAGCGAGGAGTCGTTGCGAGAAGTCGTCTCGCGGGTGGTCGGGAACTCACGGAGGCCGAAGGTGGCGCCGATTCATCGGGGTTGGACTCAACAGGGCCCACACTTGTTGGTAGTTGATCATATCGTGTACGCAACAACATGAATAAGCCCACAAAATACGACATTTAAATATGTATACTTCATGGGACCTCCGTTGCCAGTACCAAAATATGAGAAGAGGTTTTTCCTGTGGTTTTTGTTTGTCTTTGAGCTGTACGCTTTTTGGCGTCCTCTGGTCGAACACCATTTGAGACGAGGCTCAAAAGAAAGCTGTCTTTGGTGTGGACCAATCAGTTTAAAAGACAATGCATATATTATGAGTGTGTTTTTTGTTTGCATTCTGACCACAAGTATTGTGGTTAATGCAGACATGATTCCTTATAAAAGGTTTCAGGTTTTTATTTTAACATCTTAACACCTGTTTTGTTGCCAGAAAAAAGGGGAAAACCTATTCTCCTATATGTATGCTTGTTTTTACACATCCCATCAACCAGCCACACGGTTTTACTTTCGGGAGTGCAACACTTCCTGCAGCAGTGGTTTCGACACGAGCTTAAACCCCTTGACCGGTTTCGACGTTTCAGTGGCTCATCAGCAGAGCCAGAGGCCTGCTTCAACCCAATGCTGGTGACCTGCCAGATGTTAGAAGGCATCAAGAACCATCCCTCCCTGGTCGACATGGAACGACGCACAACATGAACTCGACCACGCGAATGATGGAAGGCGGTGGACACGTGGAGGCGTATACGTGTGTGTTTACGCGGAGCGGTGGCGCAATGGTTAGCGCACTGCGCTACGAACCTCACCCGAGTTCGACTCACCGCTCACGACCGATAACGGTGGCGAATATTAGAATCGGTCCTGTGCCTCCCCTAGGTCGAATCAGCCTCAAATGAAACAAAGGCGGTCGGGCGTGGTTCTGGCCCAGACCACCTCCCGCCCTCTCGTGCGCCGTGCGTGCGTGTGCAATAGGTACTCGTGAACAGCACTTGACTCAACGGTCTGCGAGGCTACACGTTGCATCTCTATCTTTGCGTCCATGTATAGTGTGTGACCAAGCGCGATGTCCCTGGGATGAACGAGTTGGTGGGTGAGTTGGTGAGCGGGCGAGAGGATGAGTGAGTGGACGAGTGAGCGAGTTGATTTGGACGATTGAGCGATCGATTTTGGCAAATACGCGATTGGTGAACGGGTGAGTACGTGAGTGATCGTGAACGAGCGAGTGTTGGAGTGCGTGCATGAGCCAGTGCGTTCGGATCAAGCGAATGTGGCACACGGAGACAACTCCACGTTCCAGTGCCCGCATCGCGCGCGCCGCTCACCTGCGCGAGGTCTCCGCCCACGCTCGCGTGAAGCATCATCTTGGCAGTGGGGCTCTTCAGTTCCTCGAAGACTGGCGCGTCATCCGGACACCCGCCGGGCAGTCCCGCCAGCCCGGCCAGGTCATCTGGCAGGACCTTGACGGGCTGCAGTTGCGCCAAGATCGGTTCGGGTCCCGTCAGAACCATCCCGGACCCGTCCATGGATCCCCTCTCCTCCTTCCTCCACCCGTGCGCCTTGTGTGACGCGCGTTCTCCCCTTCTCCCCTTCTCTCTCGTAACTTCAAGATCTGACGTTTAGAATGCTTCGTAGCATGTGGTTGAGGTTTATTGCGGTCAGAGCGCTGATTTAAAAGTGTGTTCAAGTTATGCAACACGCAATTATTACGCACACACACATACACACGCGAGTGCATACGCATACACAGGGCACGCGTGTACTCAACTACACGTGTGTACACACACACACGTGTACTCAACTACACGTGTGTACACACACACACACGTGTACTCGCACCGACTGCTCGCTTTGCACGCTCACACTCACACGTGCGCGCATCGGTGATGTGAGACTGAGTTCCTCTGCCTGCCTCCTCTGCCCCCCGCCCCCCACACACCCCCCCTCCTACCCCGCAGTCGGAGAAACTTTCCTCCAATGAGCTGCGGCCGGAAGCGGTGATGCACCCTGTGGGGGTGGGTGGGGGGTGGGGGGTGGAATTCACCTGCACTGATGGCCCGCGCTGCAGACTTACCTGTGCGCGTGTTGTTTTTTTTGCAAAGTGGAGAGCGGTGGCGCAGTGGTTAACGCACTGCGCTACGAATCCGGCGACCCGAGTTCGATTCCCGCTCAGGACCCAATATAAGTGACAACTATCTGCACCAGTCCTGGGCCTCCCCTAGGTCGGCTCTGCCGTATAAACTGAGCAACTGGTGCGGTGTGGAGAACATCACGACTGTGGAGACGAAGGCCGTGGGGCGTGGTCGTGTGCCGTGGCGGCCATCACAGCTGCTCGATAACAGCACTTGCTCCGACTGTGTCCTGGAGGCTACACGGGGGATCTTTGTATCTGTATGTACGTGCATTATTATCAGGCCCACGTTGTCACCAAGTGCAGTCTACAACTCTTATTTTTATTTACGCGCTATATAAAGAAGGGTCATTGCCCGAAACGACACCTATTATACAACCTTCCGTTTACGGTCACGCAGTGTTATTGACGAACGTGCCGAGTGTCTGTCCCCGGCTGTCCGCTATAGCGCTGCGCAGTGACCTCGCCTTCACGAGGGACAGCTGCTGCTGCTGCTGCTGCTAATGCCGTCGTCTTGAGTCCACCTTGCAGGGCAGCTCTTCCTTGGCCATTGCTACTCACGTCGGCTGCTTGGCAGCGACGTCGCCGACACTGTCTTCCTCCCTGCGGTGTCAGCTTCTATCCCACTTGTGCGGTGGAGGAGGAGCGGCGGCGTAGTGGTTAGCGCACTGCGCTATGAACCCCGTGACCCCGACTTAGATGTCCACGGGGTAGCATCAGGGGGCAGTGATTTCAGACCCGAGTCGTTTCAGACTCTGGCTCCTCCTCCTTGTCTTCCAACCCGCACTGACCAGCGCGGTGAAGTATGGCCACAAAGCTCACGTGACGTGCAGAGGCCTTCGTCCATTGGTGGATTGAGAACAGACGGAATGTATGAATTTATGTTACTTATCTCCCTCCGATCCATAACTTAGGAGCTGCCCACAGTGGTGCCATGGTGAGCACACTGGACTTACGATCCCACGTGGCCTCGGTTCTATTCGACCTCCCGCCGCGGCAGCTGAAACAACGAGGCGAGTTTCTCAAATTCCTCGCCACGTTTCCCTCTGTCCACGCACCACGACCACCACCACAATCAGCGGGTCGGCTGGTCGCGCGTAGAGGGGTGAAGTGTTGGTAGGCCCATCTCTTGCAACACGTTCGGCCAACGTGGAAAGAGTAAACAACAACAACAACAAAAATAACAACAACAACAAAAACCCCTGTGGAATTTCGCTCCAGCAGAGGCCTTTTCTGAGAGCAGTGGCGTGGCTGGGCACTTGCAGGGCTTCACCTTCAGAATCACCACAACCTCGCCGAATAAACAAAACGAGGACACATTGTAATCCCTGAAAATAATAATCACAATGCCTCCTCTTCTCCCCGAATACCATAAGATGTGTACGGTTTTTCACTATTTAAGTTTTCGTTCCGTGTCCCGGCCCTGCGAGTGTGTGTCGGCTCGCGGCAGGGTTCCCGTTGCGTGACGAGGCGGACCAGGGCGGTGTTTGTAAGCGCCGCGTTGCCGTGGCTGTGTGCGGCAGAGGGATAGAGCGTGGACGGTCTCTTTGGTTATGGGGAGCGGTGGCGGAGCCGTTGGCTGAGTTCACATTGCGCTACCGACACTCGGCTGGCCGAGTTCGATCCCCGCTCACGACCAATAACAGCGACAGCGAATATTTGAACCGATGCTGGACATGCCCCTAGCTCGACTCAGCCTCAAACGGGTTACCTGGTACGGTGTGTAAACATTATGAGTGGGGAGACAAAGGCGGCCGAGCATGGGACTGGCCACTCAATCTCTAGTGTGCCGTGCCGGCGTTCATAGGTGATCGATAACAGCACGATCCGAGAAGGGATCTTTGTCTTGTGTATAGGTGCCCCCAAACAGCACTTGCCCGAGACAGTCCATTAAAGGCTATACGGGCGTTCTTTGTCTTTTGTGTGAAAGTATGACCCCGAGATATCCTAACCTTGTATTTACTCTGCTCGCAGATTTACGACCCTGCTGTGTGTGCGTGTGTGGTGCGACGCTTTCCTGCCAGCACGAGACGTTATTGCTTTCCGAGAGCAAAGGGCGACCAAGCGCTCGTTTGGCCACTTCATTCCTCCACCCCCCAGCACCAGCACCACCACCACGACCCACCAGCCCCACTCCCCTCCACATCGCCCCAGCACCACCACGACCCACCAGCCCCACTCCCCTCCACATCGCCCCAGCACCACCACGACCCACCAGCCCCACTCCCCTCCACATCGCCCCAGCACCACCACGACCCACCAGCCCCACTCCCCTCCACATCGCCCCAGGGCTTGGCTGTAAATGGTCCTCGCGTCAAAAAAAAAACTGCCCCGTTGCGAATTCTTCAGCGCGGCGTCGAACTTTAAAGCGCTCCGTGCGAGGAGGGGGTGGGGGGATCACCTGGAGGGGGGGGGGGCGTGCGGGGTGGTGATGGGGGGGGGTCACCTGGAGGAGGGGGGGGCGTGCGGGGTGGTGATGGGGGGGGGGCACCTGGAGGAGGGGGGGGCGTGCGATCACTTATTTATTTATTTATCCAGGAGAGCCGCGCTGAGTCGTGGGACTCTTTTTTCAGGACGTCTCTCCCACTTCTGCTTTGGTTTGTTTATTTATTTGAAGATGTTTTCAGCTTGTTCAGAATGTTAAGCCACTCCCCGCGAGCCTTCGACACTTCACGTGGCCTACAAAGTGCACCTAGCCTGACACAAGCGCCGTGCTAATGTCACCGCCACTTCGTGATGAACGTCGATTTTTGTTGTTGTTATGCATACGTGCTCGTGTAAGTGCATGTCTGCATGTGTACGTGTGTAGCTGCACGTGTGCACGTGTGTAGCTGCACGTGTGGACGTGTGTAGGTACACGTGTGTACGTGTGTAGGTACACGTGCGGGCAAGCGGACTGTCGTAATGATATCACCACGGGTCGCTCCATTCTGACGCCTCCGTGCCTGACACCCGATACGAAGAGGGCACAGCGGGGGGTGGGTGGGGGGTACGGGGGTGTGATGGCGAAGGCGCGGGCGATGAGGTAGTGATGATGGTAAGAACGAGATGCGAACCATCAAATCACCCCCCGCACCCCCCCCCAAGAGGTTATATTTTAAAACATCGTAAAGGATCCTCTGCACATCAGATGATCGGATTCCCACCGTCGCGTTCTCGGTGAGCGCGAGAAGAGCGCTTGGCAGGCAGACACGATGCTCGGTTTACGCATTAATAAGATAATCATCGATCTGCGGCGGCAAAACAAACACGCGCACAAGTGGACAAAAATAAAACGCTTGGAACCGGAACTCTGCCTGCGGACCTCCCCAAGTGTTTGCGAGTTGTGCCGCGCGCGTGGTTTTCCCCCGGAATGATTGTCCGACGGTTTTGCTGCCCACCTGTTTGTGAAATGAAGAATCTCCCAGCAGCACGTTAGAGCGAAACGTCGGACATCGTGGCCAAAGACACGTGGGCAAAACGCGATAACAACACGGCCTGGAGCTACACAGCACAGCCGTGAGAAGCAATGCAAACGAGACGATCTTTTTAACAAAACGGGACGGCAAAACAAATATCGATTATTGTTTGTTATCGCAGCGTTAATCGCTACAGTGAATCGAATCGCCGAGGGTTTGAAGACGTGCGGGGGTGGTGGGGGTCGTGGGGGTGGTGGGGAGCGGTGGCAGAGTGGTTAGCGCGCTGCACTATGAAATCCGACGAATCAAAGTTCGATATCTGATCCAGATCCAGGGCCTTCCCTATCGCTCGATCCAGCTTGCTATGTGTACCTAGTGTTGCGTGCAATCACCAGCTCTGGGGAGACAAAGGTTGCCGGGCGTGGTGCTGGCCACCCACCGGCTCGCTAGAAGCACTTGCCCCGAGCGTCCGTTAAGGGTTACAGAGGAGGGGTAATTTACCTTTAGGTGGTGGTGGCGGTGGTCAATCGTCACAGCCCTAATCAATAAAAAATAATAGTGGTGGTGGTGGCCACGATGGTTACGATGATGACGATGGTGGTGGTGGCCACGGTGGTTACGATGATGACGATGATGGTAGTGGCCACGGATGGTGGCGGTGGTGATGGTGGTACAGGCCACGGTAGTGATGGTGGTGGTGGCCACGGTAGTGATGACGATGATGACGATGGTGGCGCTTCGTTGTGACTTTAATTTAAGGTTACGGGGCGCGCGGCCAAACTCTTGCCCCCATTTTTAAACCGAGGACCTTTTGCTGGGCCATCCATCACGTGGCCGCGATTCTGTCATCTCTGCCCCCGTCTCCCCCCCCCCCACTGCCAGCCCCAGGGCTCATAACTGCAGATCAGATGAATTCCCGAGTCACTCACTCACCCGGCCAGCTCTGTCTTTCAAAGGAACCGCAGTCTAATCAGGTTCGTGACAGCTCCATGTCAGACCAAATTACATCAACCACCGAGCAGCGCTCAACTGATCGTCACCGCATGTTATTCGTCGCACCGGGGCAACTGGTTTATTATTATTTATTTATATGTGTGGTGGTGGTTTTTTTACAGTTTACTTGTGAAACGACAATCAGACTCGTGTTTTGTTTGCATGCGAGCAGAGCGATATGAGTGCGGAGAGGCGGGAGAGTGCGTGGAGGGGAGCAGAGTGAGATGAGAGGGGAGAGGTAGGAGAGTGCGTGGAGGGGAGTGAGATGAGAGGGGAGAGGCGGGAGAGTGCGTGGAGGGGAGCAGAGTGAGATGAGAGGGGAGAGGTAGGAGAGTGCGTGGAGGGGAGTAGAGTGAGATGAGAGGGGAGAGGTAGGAGAG